GAGATTCAGGGACCTGAGGTAATGAGTAGCTCCCCGCACTATCCCATTTTTTAAAATGTCTTCTACAAATATACCCTCTTGCTCTGGACAGTCTTTTGACTGATTCTGATTGCTAGGAATAAAGGCATGTTGTATTTACTGATTTTTGCAGTTAGGAACGGGTTAAGCAACATATTATGAATAAACCATTTGCTTGCCATTTACATTGCATTCCCTCCTTTGGAAGGATTAGCAATAGCTGAATCTTTCAACGTACATGATTTTTACTTGGCTAAATGCACCGTGTGCAATTTTCAGAATTACGTTTCTCATGCCATTTTGGCTTTCTTAATTATTAACATGTTTCTAGTTGAAATCCCTCCCCAGCAGTCCTGGCTTATTGAGGTTGAATAGGATTGACTGCTGGCTTTCCTACTGTTTTAATGTAAACCAGTGAGTCAGTCAAGACTCTAGACTAGGCCTCCTCTTGTTTCAAAGGGGGAGAGCAAATTTCAGGAGCAAACTTCAACATGGTTAAAACCAAGAAGCTCTTCACTAACAAAGGGCTGTACTGAAATCCGTTCATCTTATCACTGGCACTGGGCCCTCCAGACTAAAGTTCAAAATTGATAGTGGTCTCCCTTAAAAGTTCATTCTGTTTGGAAGTTTCTCCTTGTTTGAGAGAGTTTCCCTATATCCTAAATGACACTGGAACAGATAATATCACTCAGGATAATTCAGATCTGGTTACTGGTGAATAACTCTCATCCGAAAAATCACCTAAATCCGTAGGAAGGCCCCTAAGTAAATGGTCTGATATTCAAAGGTGCTGCACATCCACATCTCCCTTTGAAGTCAGTGAATTTTGTTGAGGGTTCAGGTCTTCTGAAAATCAGTTCACTTATTTTGACGCATAACTCTATGCACCCAAGTTTGAGAAGTGCTGAATTCACAGCTCCCGGTGCAGTCACTTGCCGAATCCTACTTGCCGTACTTGCCCAATTAGTATGGGTGAGTGAGTGAGATTAGTATGAGTGAGACAAGTAAGATTAAGCCTTAATATACTAGGAACCGTCTGATTTTGGGCTCCTTCATCCCTCTCTTAGTAGGATCACTCTGCTGGCCCATTGGTTAAGTGGTTTTCAAAACATTTTACTGTGTTCCCATTGTATGGAAAGATCTGTTAATACTTTGCTTTCCCTTGGAGCACACAGAACTTTTCTAGATAACTTTAAAGTTATTGTTCTTGTTTGCAACTACTGGTTGCATTCCTCGGAGTTGCATCCAGCTGCAGCCACCTGGATTCAGAACTCCCCCAGGTCTGGTGAGACACATCAGGAGGTGCATCAGTGCCTTTTTTGCAGCTTGATAGGGGAAAGACAAAGAAGAGAATAAATTAATTCTCCTGGCGCTACTTGACGATCAAACCTGAGTAAGTCTTATCCCTTAAGCCCAATTTTATATGGCAATGAGGCTTAACTTCAAGGAAGTCCCAACTACACTTAGTTTATAATTGAGCCTAATTAGGGGGCCTTAATTTTTCAGATCATTAACAGGATGTTATTTTGGCTACCAATCTTAAAATGGCAGAGTAATCTCTCGCTAGTTCTGGTGAACGTCCCTGTGATAGTATGACATTCATTTTTGTCTAGTTGAAACAAGTCTCTTTTTTTCCAGTGTACTCCTGGTCTAGGCTGCTTTTTGCATGGTATGCTTGAAGTCCCCATGGATGGGCAAAGCTGCCTCCCCTTTTCTCTTAAGACCAGTTTTTATAGCAACATCTGCAAGTGGTTTCAATTAGAAACCCACATAGGGCCCAGTCTTGCACTACCGACTCAGGTAAAGCTCCCATTGACTCCAGTGAGATCTCTACAGATTTAGGGACAGCAGAAATAGGTTCTTAAATGTTTTTTTTTCTAAATCCCCGTTCATTTTTTAAATTCCCTCTCCCGCCCAAACTTCAGTTAATAAAAACTAGCAGGCGAAAGCACCAACCATCAGAGATCACGCAAAACACGGTGGCCTGGATCTGAGGGGAGCATACAGCATATGTATATTCCAGCACTGTTGATAGTCGGAAGTGCTTCTCAAACACCAGATTATCTTGTGGTTTTAGTACATAGGTTTTATCATAGAATATCAGGGTTGGAAGGGACCTCAGGAGATCATCTAGTCCAACCCCCTGCTCAAAGCAGGACCAATCCCCAAACAGATTTTTGCCCCAGATCCCTAAATGGCCCCCTCAAGGATTGAACTCACAACCCTGGGTTGTGTGTGTATGTGTGTGATATACACAATGTCAGTACTCTAACGTATAGTATCTTGGGCCCTTCCAGGGCCAGGAGCAAGTGCTAATGTTCCATTGGGAAGCTGGGAATCTCCCTTTCCCAGTGGGATAAAGCTCCTCTTCCTAACCCTGCCAAACTGTAAGATTTCAGACACTAAGGTTGCGATTTAGCAGGCCAATGCTCAAACCACTGAGCTATCCCTCCCCCAGAAAGGTTCACTTGTGTTGTCATTTCTTAGCATTCTTTACTGTGCAGGGCTATTGTGGAATGCATAATTCTGTGGGTATCATATCCATGGTGTGGTGACCATAGCCACGTCATACCCTGCAGAGACACATAATAAATAGAATTTATTATGCACCTTGCCTGCCCTCTCCATCTCCTCTGGGTGCTAGTCCAACATTCCAGATTTCTGAGTCCCGGCAACCCTGAGTTGGGTTTTTTTAAGCCAAACTGAGAGACAAGTGTTTCTTCCTTCACCCCTAAATTTCCCCTCCTGACCTGTGTCCCAGGATGGAGAGGATTCACTCTTCCACTCCCATTTCGGTATGTTAAAACATCGCAACCTTAGTGTCTGAAATCTTACAGTTTGGCAGGGTTAGGAAGAGGAGCTTTATCCCACTGGGAAAGGGAGATTCCCAGCTTCCCAATGGAATTAGCACTTGCTCCTGGCCCTGGAAGGGCCCAAGATACTATACGTTAGAGTACTGACATTGTGTATATCACACACATACACACACTTTACTGGGGTGAGTTTTTCTATCCATCTTCTTTCCAAGCCACTTGTCATGGTTTCCTTGGATTCAACTGAACAAGGTTCAGTGGGAGCCATGAAAATCCATTCAAGTTGATGTAAAATAGGTTTTATATCTATATAAACATGTAGGAAATTACATCCAAAAGATGGTTAAAAGAATGTTAAGGTTGCAAAGTCAAGCTCTCAAAAGTGAGGAAATGACAGAATTAAGGTTTAATTACATAATCACGTTTTTTCTTCAGGACCCCTGCCTCGTTCAGTGCACAGGATAGACTGTGCTCACTGAATGAGCAGTTATTCACTGTTTCTTTTTATCCTCGTCGTCCAGTGCGTGGGCCCATTTGTTGTTTACTGTGCAGGATCCAAGCCCTGCACTGAATACAGAATTATTAATTTCCCCATAGAGTTTTCTATGACACTTTTAACACACACACACAATCCTCTGGCGCTGGTCCCTCCCCTTCTGCAGGGAAATTCTTATTCTGCCTCTCCACCCTTAGGATGGAGCATGTGCAGTTGCTGTGGGTGGATGCAGCATGTGGAGTCCAGTTGACACATAGCAGCTGTGAGGGGGATGGAGCATGCTCAGTGAGGCAGAATCTCTGAAAAATTTAGCTGCTGGACTTTACTGAGCATGTGCAGAATGTGGGGGGGGGGGCAGGTTGTTAGAGCCTTATAACTTGGACAAATTTGAGCAGATATTCATGGTGACGGCAACATCCACAGCTCTGACACCAGGATGACCCCCTGCCAAATTTCAAGTCAGTGCTCCAAAGCATGGGGACACTAGAGTTTGTCAATGAGATTATAGTAAGATTTTTTTTAACGTGGGCAAACAACATATTTTGTTGCTAATCTTGTTCTTGGAAATTGCTGAACCTTTTTAGCTGAAACTTAAAAAATAATCAGTCAGAGACAGACATTGGGCATGGAAAATTTCAGCTCAAATGTCTAAAGTTTGGCAAAGTTACAAGCTGCTGAAGACAGGGCTATATAATGGGACATGTCAAGTAGCCTTGACATTAGACAGAGCTGCCAGTTCTGCCTATAATAACACACACACATACACACACACTCACTCTCTTTACTTTAGAGGAGTGACATACTGTGTGTGTGTGTGAGTGTGTGTAAAGATAAAAAGGTCCTTTTTAAAGAGTTTTCCTGGCTTCCTCTGGTGCTTGTTCAATTGGACCCATGCAAAGTAAGGCAACTGCCTTTGAAAGCAGATGGATAGAAAAAATTATTTTAGTAAAAGTGTTTAAATTTCTATAAAACAGATCTTACAAATTGAAATGGCGCTTCTGGAACCTGTGCAGAGTACATGAGGGCATGGTGTTGTAGGAATGTCTACCAGTACTTGTATGGGATGACTTATATAACTCACTCATGGCCCTGCCTCTTGGGAACAATGCAATCATCCCAAAGTCATGTTGATAAACTCTTCATACTACAACTCACAATCATGTAGTCTCTCTTCACAGACAGATAAGCCAAGTCACTGTGCCAGCTTGCCAGACTGAGATTCGTGGCTGTACCTTCCAGAGCCCACTGCCTCCCAGGCGGTGCTGAGAACTCTAACCCACCATGGAGTTTGGGTTACTCCAAGCCCTGCTCTTGCAAGGCAACCCAAAGTGTAGGGTGGGTTGCTGCATGTGTTGCAAGAGAATCAGGAAAGCAGACTGCATCCCCACCCCAGAAATCCATCATTGTGGCAGAGGTGGGGAGCCATGAGTTGTAGTCACCAAAGCTTGAAGTACAATGAATGTAATGCCCTTCTCTTATTCTACAGTCCCCATTGATTCTGGATGGCAAAAGAAGCAGGAAACCTTAGAAATGGGAGAGGAGAGTTAGGTAGAAGGCAAAGAAAAAAGCTGTTTTAAGAGGTTCCCCAGCCACGTTTCCAGGTTGTCTTTCTATGTCCCTAGTCCTCCTAACACCTTCCAGTGCATTAGAATGTGTGATTGTTTGCCTTGCAGAGGGTTGCCCTGGACTGTGTAATGGCAATGGCAGATGCACTCTGGACATGAATGGCTGGCACTGTGTCTGCCAGCTGGGCTGGAGAGGAGCGGGCTGTGAAACTTCCATGGAGACAGCATGCGGCGATGGAAAAGACAACGATGGAGGTAGGACGAAAGTGCATGCGATTTATCAGGCGTCACAGAGCCTTACACTGCTTCTCTTAGCAAGGCCGAGAGCCAGCTGGGGGGACTCTAGGGTGCAGAAGATCCTTGTTCTTGACAGCTGATGGAGAATGGAGAGTGAACTTTGCCAGACTAATTCTGCCATATTTTATATTAATTTAAATTGAATTAATTCGGTGCAGGGGTCTGAGGTTTGTTTATCCTCACAATAGGCACAGCACAGTCAGTGGCAGTGCAGGCTTCGCTCCACCCCACTCCACCTTTGTGCCTGAGCCATGACACAGAGGGGTGAGTTTCCCTGTCTGTTTGAAACCCGGCCTCTCTCCAGAGACTGCCACCAAGGGTCCTTACTCACCTGGGATGGATGTGAAGCCGCAACCTAGAGGCTTAACTAGCTGATCCCCAAACCACCCAGTCCCTCTCTGTCCACATTTTATTGATTCCAGTTCTATACATAATGAGTCAGGCATGAGAATAATAGCTCAGCGTAATGCAGCGTTAATGTTCAGAGTTATCTCATTACAAAGGAAACCTTGGAACAGTGTGAAGGTTTGAATTAGAGGGCTGGAGATGAGATATTAAATTTGAGGCATAAGGGAGACTGCATAATTTGTTTTGTTGTCACTCAGCAAAAAGCTCTGTTAACCACAGTCCGGGCCAGGACCCAGACTGTGAAATGCAGACTGCGTTTTGCACGTGTCTTGTTTTATTGTATTAACAAGAACAGTACAGTTTTTTTTTAAAAAGGCCAACCCTGTGATTATAGACTTCACAGGGACCAGGCTTCTGATCGAATATTTAAAATGCCTTTTACATCTGGCATGGTAAATGGACCAAATTGTCCCCTTAGAAAGATGTGGGGGCGGGGAACCCAGTGCCCCATACACAGAGTACAAGCTGTAGAACAAAGCCCGCTTATTCCCTCAGATGAAACCAAATACCACTGTATTAGTTCTTTCTATTTACAGCTGACACAAGGCACCAATAAAGTTCGCCACACCACATGTGTAAAAATATGGTAAATATATCCAAGCATAATCCTAGCTTCTGTTGAAAAAAATTGTCGTTTCTTGGAGAGAGGGCAAAAAAATCTCAGAGGTAATCCAGCCCAAAGCAAATGGAGCCTATAAACATAACATCAAAAAGAGCGTGATCAGACTCTGGCTCTGTGGGGATGTAGTCAGAGATTCCATGGTCTGAGGTGTTCACTTCTTATGTGGTGACTCATTGGGTTATCCATTTCAAAGGAACTGTTGATTACCTTGTCAGCCAACAAGGCAACAGATGTAGACTGGAGAAGCAAAAGGTGAGTGCTGTGTTTATCCTGTGATAAGTGCCATCCCTCATCCTGGGGACAGCTGGATAGCACTAGCTTGAAGACACCCCCTGCACCAAGAGCCGAGAGGGAGGATGGCATAGACACTATGACAATGGCTCCATGCAGGGGGATCCTCGGGGCTAGATCTGCCAGCTTGCCTGCTGCATTGCTGGGATGGTGCAAAGCAGCCAGAGTGATTGATCTGACCTATGATCTTTAAACCTGTTACTTGAAAAATCAGCTTCTGCTCTGTACAGGAAGATAACTGGGAAAAGATGTTCAGTCGCTCACGCTAACGGCTTGTCGAGCTGCAGTCCCTATCAGCGGCAGTGAGACCTGCACCACCCCTGTGGGATCTCCCAGGGGGATTGTGCCTCAGGCAATCACATTGACCCCCACTGAAGGAGCATGGGCGAGCGTGGCCCCTGCTTCACCCTTTCAGGAAGCACAATGCATTGGCACCCAGAGTGTAGGGGTGCCAGAGCCCTGTCTCCTACAGGAAGGATAGCATTAGTGCTCATAAATGATCTGGGGAAAAGGGTAAAACAGTGAGATAGCAAAATTTGCAGACTGTAAAAAACTACTTGAGATAGTTAAGTCCAAAGCAGACTGCGAAGAGTTACAAAGGGACCTCACAAAACTGGGTAACAAAATGGCAGATGAAATGCAGTGTTGATAAATGCAAAGTAATGTACATTGGAAAACATAATCCCAATTATACATATAAAAGGATGGGGTCTAAATTAGCTGTTACTTCTCAAGAAAAAGATCTTGGAGTCATTGGTGGATAGTTCTCTGAAAACATCCACTCGTGACGCAGCAGTCAAAAAAGCGAACAGAATGTTAAGAACCATTAGGACAGGGATAGATAAGACAGAAAATATCATAATGCCACTATATGAATCCATGGTACACTCCCACCCTGAATACTGCATGCAGATCTGGTTGCCCCATCTCAAAAAAGATATATTAGAATTGGAAAGGGTACAAAGAAGGACAACAAAAATGATTAGGAGTATGGAACAACTTCCACATGAGGCGAGATTAAAAAGACTGGGACTTTTCAGCTTGGAAAAGAGGTGACTAAGTGGGGATATGATAGAGGTCTATATTATCATGAATGGTATGGAGAAAGCGAATAAGGAAGTGTTATTTACCCCTTCACGTATCACAAAAACCAGGGGTCACCCAATTAAATTAATAGGCAGCAGGTTTAAAACAAACAAAATGAAGTAGTACTTCACACAACACACAGTCAACCTGTGGAACTCATTGCCAGGGGATGTTGTGAAGGCCAAAACTATAACGGGGTTCAAAAAAGAATTAGATAAGTTCCTGGAGGATAGGTCCATCTATGGCTATTAACCAAGCTGGTCAGGGATGCAAACCCATGCTCTGGGTGTCCCTAGACTCTAATTGCCAGAAATTGGGAATGGATGACGGGATGGATCACTCAATAATTGCCTGTTCTGTTTATTACCTCTGAAGCACCTGGCATTGGCCACTGTCGTAAGACAGGATACTGGGCTAGGTGGACTATTGGTCTGACCCACTATGGCTGTTCTTACATTCTCTTGGGGTGCGAGGACTAGAGTGGTTTATTTCCACCTTTCCTCACATGCCAGTAGAGGGCTAATTTCAGTCTAGCCTTTAAATATTCATCTGTGCATGTGTTTAAACCAAGAGTCAGTTTGGGTCATATTTTTGAAGGTATTTTGTGCCTAACTCCCATTGAAATCAATGGGAATTAGGCATCTAAATTTTTGTTTGTTTGTTAAATCTGGCCCTTTGTTCCCAGAACAGCTTCTGTGTATGCAGAAGTTTCTCATACAAGAATTGTGATATGCATTGACTCCTGTTCACAGTAAGTGGCGTTTCACTCTGCCTGAGTTCACCATTCAGCTGGTTCTAATGCAGTGGTACAGTGCAGAACACTGCCACTGGAAATTCCTTACTGTAATGGGAGCTGGAGTTAAAAAAAAGTCTTCAGGTCCTGGGGAAATCGGACTCCATGGGAGACAGGTAACAGAAACTCTTCAGTAAAGGGGAAGGCTGTTTGGCCGCAGAGAAGCAGTGACAAGCTATGGCAGGAATAAGAGATGCTCTCAGTGAAAGAGAATCTTTGTCCCATTTAGAACAATGATATTGCCAGGAAAAATCCCAAGAAAAATGTGTCATTGGGCTGGCCAGGCAGTACTGTTTTAACACGGTGGGTCTAATCCTGCTTTCAGTTACATTTCAGTGGCATTGCATCAGGTTTTACACCGGAGCTGGTATTTATTCCAGGGTCATTACAGGGAAAACAGCAGAAAATGAATCACCTTTAACAATCCAGAGCAGTTAAGGTTACAAGGGTTTTGCAGGCTGCACCCAAGGAGTCACAAAATTTATTACAGCAAACTGCAGAAGTTTTCTAAAAATGTGCACAGAGAGGAAAATCCTAGAATGACTCTCTTGCCATTGTTCTGTGTTACATAACCACTCTATATCAGGAGTGCGGACACTGGCAGCTCTGCATGCTTATAACAGTGCAGACCTGGAAACCTTAAAGTAGCCAAGGAAACTAATTGCCCCATAATAGGACCTGGAAGTTGATTTGAAGGCCCTCGTAAAACCTTGAGCCTTAAGGGAGAATATAGGGACCATTACATTCCTGGAAAATAGATTTCCTACCAGCAATCACCTCTGTCAGGGATCGAGTCTGGGGGAATATCCCACCCAACTCACAGACATGCTGCATATGAGCAAACCTGCATCAGCAATCTATTTTGGGGGAGCTTTCCCCCTGCACGAATCACTCTGTATTAACAGCTGGAGCTTTAGAAATGTTTGGCTAGTTGAGCAATTTTATTGTCTAAGCATCTTCCAGTGCCCTGAGTTCTTAGGAGAACTATCAATATTAAGCTAGAAATCTCCTTTTTGCCAAAAGTTTCTGTCCAATTCACATGTTAACTTTGGGTTGAGGGATTCATCACTGGTCCTGAATTTATCTGAGGAAGCTAGGTCAGTACCTGGGAAGGGAGGATTCTAGGGTCTGCAAGTAGAGGTGCCGGTTATCTGGAAAGTGGCTGTCTTTTGAGTCAATATTTAACCAGTTTCCCAGTAAGGGACAATTAGATGCAGTTAAGAAAGAGGTAAAATCAAGGTCCTGACCACTTACGGTCATTAAAGATCCCATAATACTTTTGGCAAGGAGCTGTTATTCCCCGTTCTCCTTTCCTAATTTCTACTTCGATGATTATATCTTCCTACTGGCATTCCCCTTACAGTTTCAGTTGCATACAGAATTTTTCTTTGTTTTAAAGTATTATGCAGCCTGGCTGTGGGGTGTTAAATAGCTATTGCGTTCTCATCCAGAGAATGGTGGACCAAGTGATTCCAGTGTAGCACACTTAAAATGCAGAAGGGGGACGAAGAACATTCTGTAAATATAACACCTTATTTATAATATTATGTCTCAATCTTCATATGAATGAGAGATAAATGTGTCTGAACCTCCTGCATAAGTCCCAAGCACACTAGAGTGGGATCTCAGTTTAAACAGATCTGAAAGGCACTCCGTAGAGATTATGGAATCTGCAGGACATTTTAAAAGTATCCTTCTTCAACTAAAGTAACCCTGGCCCATCCCAGGGTTTAGCACACAGAAGCAGCCTGCCAACCT